TTTATTTATTTATTCTGCTGAGCCCTTTCAGTGTTCTCAGAAATCATGAGACTAAGATGAAAAAAAGTAACATTTTCTTGCTTTGTCAGAAACAAAAGTTTTTGTGATTTTTGGTTTGTTTTATTTGTGGGTACCCATGTTGCTGTTCTAGTTCTCTTTCTCACCAGTGGTTTATACAGTCATGCCTGGCTCATTGTGATTATCTGAACTGAGTTTCTTGGTTCCTGCACTTGACTCCAAGATCTGTTGCTATACCATGGCTGCAGCACTCTTGCTGTCACACTGAAATGGGCCCAAGCACTGGCTAGCAAAAACTGGATAAGCTACTCCTTAACAAGAGCCATGCTCAAGCACTACCCCTTCTAATGACTAAGAGGACTCTTCACAAATTCTGTTCTTAAAGGGTAGCTTTAATAAAAATTCTGTTGTACTGGATTTCAGTTTCTGCTCTTTTGCTTAGGGAGGGGCAAACTCCAAAAGAAAAATTTTCACTATGATTGAAACAATCCAGGATCTAATTTTCTTGCAAAGGGAAAGGTACACTTGGAAATACTGGATTCCTGGATGAAATGTATATTTTTGTGGTCTCACCAATCCACGTGGGCTGCATTTAATCCTCTGCTATTGCACTGGCTCTAACATAGACTGGCTATGGTAGGTAACTTCAGGAGGAATATCTTTAACCTCTTCTTTTCCCTGCTTTCTCTGCAGCCCCAACTGGTAACTCTTTTCAGCAACAACTGGTCACAAAGGAGGGGAATGAGCTCTACCACTGTGTAATTTACCTTGCACCAGGGGATTATCACTGCTTCCACTCTCCCACAGACTGGACAGTGTCACACCGACGGCATTTCCCAGGTTGGTTTCTGTTCCTAGGAAACAACTGCAGAGCAGCTATGGAGGGAAGCACTGCTATGAGCCACTGCAGAATGAGACACCACTGCAGAATTTGTGCAGTAACGTCATAGATAATGGTAGAAAAGTGATTAAACAGTAATGAGTTTTGCAGCTGTATAGTTTACCAGAGCAAATCACATATAAATGGTGAGAACAGTAATATTGCATTCAAACTGTGTGAGTTCTTTCAAGTATCCCTTGATGCATGCTGGCCTGATTTGTTTCCAAACACTATTTATTCAGTTTGCACCTGAAATACAGATAATTCTGCAGATCACACCAAACAGTAGCCTAAAGTATGATCTCTCCTTGTGCTTGGCAAAAAAAATGCAACTGAACATTACACTACTGGAGCTGGGATTGGATGTTTTTGCAGATAAAAATATTTTACTTCTTGGTATCTAGCAAAAACCTAAGTATTTGGATTTGGTTTCAAATACCATGAGAGAGAGATTGACCCACCACACACATCCTTCTGTGACCCCTTTGTTTTCAGCACAGACTTCTCTTTCATTTGCTCTGCCTGGCACTTGCCTCTCTTCCTACAAATAACTGACAGAGTTTTTTACTGGACCAACTCCAGTAAAAAACTCCAAAAAACACCACCTGAGTGACATTACAATATTGCTACAAACCAGACAGCCTAACCTGAATATTTTTTCACTTCCTCAGGCTCTCTGATGTCTGTCAATCCCGGAGTTGCTCGCTGGATCAAGGAACTGTTCTGCCACAATGAACGGGTTGTCCTTACAGGTGACTGGAAACACGGCTTTTTCTCATTAACAGCTGTAGGAGCAACAAATGTGGGCTCCATCCGCATCTACTTTGACCAGGTGAGCAGGATCATAGCAGGCACCTTTCTGCTGTTAATGGTTGAGGCTGGTGCAGCATAACAAAATTTAAAAAAAATCTTATTACCCTAAAATTAGGGTGTTTCACAGCACTGATATTCTAAGACTGATTTAAACAGTGCTGTCTCCAATAGAGACAATTTTTAAAATATTCCTATTGTATCTTTGAGCTGTGAGTTCCTGCATGGAAAATGCTGGAGGATGTACAGTCCACAGCTGTGGTGATGAATGAATACAGAGCACTGATATCCTCCAGTAAATCCTTCTCTTCTTCCTTCTCTGTACAGGACTTGCACACGAACAGTCCAAGTTACTCTAAAGGTTCCTACAATGACTTCAGCTTCATATCCAACAACAACAAGGAGGGAATCCCCATGAGGAAAGGGGAACATTTAGGGGAATTTAACTTAGGCTCTACGATCGTACTAATCTTTGAGGCACCCAAGGACTTCAAATTCAACCTCAAAGCTGGACAAAAAATCCGCTTTGGAGAAGCACTGGGCTCTCTATAGGAACTGTCTTAGCAAGAAGATTTTCTATAAAAAGGGACTCTTTTCACACCACTGAGTGTTTCACTTACCAAGTTTGTATCACTCAGCAGGACCTGGGTGAGGAGAAAAAAAGATGTCACTGCTGCGTTAAACTTGAAAGTATTTGGTCTGCATTTACCTGCTGCTGAATGTAGAAACTGAATGGAATAATCATGGATGTATTGGGTACAGCTGCCTTTAACGATGTTGCCCATGGTGGTTTCTGGCCCACCCTGTGCCTGTAGTCTTTCATGTTCTCTCCTGAATGTGCCACAGGATAATTGTGTTCTTGGAGCCTCTAAGTCCCTTCTGAGCCTTCCTAGGCAGGTGCAGTAGGAAAGGGTGGAGGCAGAGATTACCTGTATTTAAAGGGACACTGACAGGCTGAGTCAGACCTTGTACCTTGTATCTGCTCTATCTGTTTTTCAGATCTTGAGTAAAGAATATTGTCTCATATTTATTTTATTCTAAGAAACGCTGCCCAAATTCTTAGATAAAAGTGGTCTCTGAATGCACAGAGGGCCAAACAGTGAATTTGCTGATGTGGCTTCACGGCCCAAACAAAGCAAAATGTCCAACAGTCAGTCAGTACAATGAATGACACTCATCCTGAGTTTTGTACTGTTAGACAACTTTAGTTCTTTTGTCTGACATTGTCCCTTTAAAAATGGATTTTGCATTCTATTTTAAACCTGAAACCAGTGTCTACATTCCAGACAACAGAACTTGTCATTTTGCGATTTTCTTTTTTCTTCCTTTTAAAGACAGACAAATATCTGTGTCCTCTTCCTAATCCATGGGTTTATTTTGCTATTCCAGGCCTTAAAGTTTTTGTCTTTATGAGAGACAATTCACCTCTTGGATTAAGAAGAACAGGGCATATTTTTCTTGGGTGATGTGATGGCAACTAAAGTATGTTTTTACCTTCTGCTATGTATCTTGTTTGTCACTAAATTCTTGAAGAATTAGTTCCTCTGTTACTGGACAGCTTCAGCTACTTCAGGACCAATTTTTATTGCACAGAGTGAAATGCCCTATGCACTGACTGTGTTTAAAATATTTATGGATCTTTAAAGAAATCCCCTGTTACTTCCCAGGTGCCAGTCTGGTCCTCCCTTGACTGGCAACAACTTCATCTTATTCAAAGCAGAAAACAAAAAACCACACTGGCTCTGACTTCTGCCCTCATACTTAATGCTAGGAATGTGCTGGGGGCAGAAATCTTTGTGCTGAAATTTAATCCACTGTAAAATTTGAGAGCTTCTTTGTGACTTCACATCAAGAAGAGTTAAAATCTAACACCTTGGATCTACTGCATGTGGCACTGACAAAAACCACTGCCAAAGTGAAGAGGAATTGAGTTTTAAAGCAATGTATCAATTGATTTTTGAGAATAAACTGTTTCAAGTCCCAGCACTCAAGCATTTAGAACTGATTGTGCTGTCCAGAGCTTGTTGGAGTGGACACGCTTATGAAACCTGCCTTTGTGCTTTCTGAAAGATTTCTCATACTTCCTTGCTTCAGCTACTTTTCTGCTACTTCAAGGAGATGACAGGCTTTGAGCAGCTCTGATCTCCTAGAGAAACCCTCCTTTGTATGCACTGCAGAAAACAGAATATAATTTTGTTGTACAAATGTCCAGTTTGCCAAGTGCTGTATGCTTAGCTTGTCATCGGGAAGGAAGGGATGATAAACTGCCCAGGCATGAGTCAGATGAGGGTGGCTGTTTGGGTGACAAGCAGGAGAAAATTCATTTGGCTCCAGGAGTCAGTGTTTCCTCACTTTACACAGGGAGGAGTTTGAAAGCTTGAAGTGGCTCTCAGCCACCTATCTTGTTAAACTTCTTGGCATTAGCAAGTTTACTCCTGCAGCAGTATAGTACCAGATACAAGTCTTTTTAAACCTTTGAGAGTGAGAAAAGAGAAAGCAAATATCAGCCCCAAGAGGATAAAGTTAGGGTGAGCTTTTTGATTAAACTTAACTGTCACATTAACAAGAGAAAGCAAATTTGTTCCAGTGGATGAGAGAATAAGGCAACTGAATATTTTCCTTCTTTTCCACTGGGATCTGTGACATCCAGACAGAGCCAAAGGAAGTTTAAGCTTTAATTTCTTCCTACTCAGCAGCATCATCCATAGTATCTGAAGGTAGATATTATCCTAGTGATGGAGGATGGGTTGCTTGATGTTTGCTTTATTAGAAATCTCAGAAGGAAGGGAGGATTCAGTATGCAAGTGGCTGTTTTTATGATGGTTTTAATACTGTGCAGAGCGAGTTAATAAACCAACATTGCTTGTGATGCAGGGGCCAGCAACGCACCTCAGGAGTGAAAACAAAGTTCCTTGAGGGTACTGATAATGCTGTGAATTTCTCCTGCATGGAGAATCCATTTAATTCAACTGTATCAGTAGCACGGTATTTTTGTATGTCAAAGTGTATGACTTACTGACATGAACTCATTTAATTGCAAACATTTTGAAATAAAGAGTCTTATCTGTGTTGCTTATCTTTGTGGCATGACAGGTAACCTAAATTAGATATTGGAAGTGCAGCATGAGGTAGATGTAGCTCCAGTTTTAATCGGCTAGAGTAACAACAAAAAAAGCAAAAATGTTTGAACTTCATTTATCAAATATAAATGCCATACATAGAATTAAGTGAATGGATACATCTCTTCCATCATCCCCTGCTATGAAAGGGGCAAAAGGTCCTAGCCCTGATGCCCTACAGATCCAGGGCAAGCTGGATGTCTCGCAGGCGGGCAAGCAGGGCCTGCACGTGCTGTCTGTCAGCCAGCTGTGCTTGGGTGAGAGTGCTGATCCTCACCTGCAACTGAAAGGGAACACAAGTGCATCAGCATAAACACAAGTTTGTACAGTGAGACAATATTTCATCTTTCTGAGAGCAAGAGCTGCTCCAGCAGCTTTTGTATTATCTCACTTGAGGGCCAATATGACAGATTGTCACTCAGGAACAGCTCAGTACTGGCTGGAGTCAGAGCTACCAGTACCCACACCTGGCTGTGTGAACCTGGGGTCTGAAAGCAGTGGGGAATCGCAGAAAAAAAATTGAGATTGAATCTCTGAAAGGTTGAGAAATAGCTGGGAAATAGCCTCAGAAAGGTCTGCTGGAGCAGGACTTATATTTCTGAACAAACAGGAAGATGCATCTACACAGCCTGTTCTGCTCCTCAGCCTACTTCTGACTACAAATTTCCCTTCTCTTGGCATTTTACTAATGGTTTACTACACCGTTCCTCACAGCTACCATAAGTCTTTAGGCTAAGTGCATGGCTGTGATAATCACTTCAGTAGCTTCAATTTAAATGCTGTGTACACACCTGACCCAATTCTTCCTGAACTCCTTGCACACCATCTTGGGCTCCTGGTTGTGTGCTCATTTCCAGCCACTGCTGCAGAATCTCTGCCTGCTGCTGACAGCACCTGATAAAATGGATTACAAGGATTCTTATCCCAATTAAGAGCTCAACAGTCTAAGCCAACTTAGACTTGCAATTGATACTTGCAATAAGACCCATTTTTTTGTCTCAAACCAGTCAATGGTTAAAATCTTTTTTAAGAGGTAAAAAAAAAAAAAAGAAAAAAAGATGCTGGAAAGCAGAGGAATCTGAAAACTGTTGTCTTCACCTGCTTCTAGTCTGTGACTTCCCCCACAAGCCCCATTTCTTTTGAGTATTTCTGTTTTCTTGTTCTAGTAGAGCAATTATCAAATACCAGCCATGTTTAATTTTTTAAACTGAAAGCTGGAAAAGCTCAGTCCTCGCTCCTCTTGATAAAATAACTAAAAGCTAAATTTCAACTGCTCTGCCCAATCCATTTGCACTGTCTTCAGATTATATCCAGTGATACCTCTGACATGCTTCTGCAAGAGCTGCCAAAGGTATAATTAAACCACTTGGCTGACTACAGAAGTAGTTATGTACATATTCTCCTTCACCTGGACTGAACTCAGAAGGAGAAAATAAAAATCTCTGGGACTTTTCTCTGTTTCATTCACAGTTCTACTGTGAACAGACTGATTATTTCCAGGGTAGATGCACAGAAAAAGTGCACCAGACAGGACAACATGAAGGAAGGCTGGCTAAAGGGGCATTACTTGAGTTCCTGCTTCCTGCTGTAGTAGTACAGCATCTGCTGCTGGATCTGTCGGAGTTCAGCTTCCACCTTTCTCTCCAACATTTCTTCTCTGGAACTGTGCTCCCTCTTTTCCCCTTCAGCTGAATGGAAGATACAAGGCACAAGCAATGGAGGTAAGAACAGACACCCACTCTTTCTTCTTATCAAAGAAACAAGAAATATTTTTAATGACAGGAAATATGGAACCCTTCTGACTCCTTTTCATGTGCTTTGTTACCCTGTGACAGGTACCTGTTCACCCCAAAGGATCAGGTACAGTGAGAGGGCAGGAGTTCTGACAGCAATACAAGCTCTTCAAGACTCAGTCTGAACACACAAAACGTACGAAATGTTCTGGTGGATGGTTCTAGTGCTACAGATTCTGTTTTGGCCTGTTCAAGATTTAGTCTTTCACATTTAGTCTAGAAGTAATTAAGCACAGTAGTCCTGCAGAACACATTTCATGCTCTGATGTCATTAAAAACCACAATGAGAGTGTTTAGACAGCATCTGTCCCCTTTACAACCATACTGTAAGTACAGGAAAATCTCAGAGAGCTCTACTGGGTGAACTTTCTTCACCACAGCACCTTGGGCACATTCTTGCTAAAAGAAGCTGGCCTCTAGCAGTTCCCATCTTTCAATGCCTAGGGCAGGGCTTTAGCCCCCAGACCCAGCAGAATCCATACAACTGCATTTACCATTCCAGAAAGGAATACTGATACCCTTTACCTCCTGATGCTGGCACACAAGATTTCCCTGTCTCCCATACTTTTTGTGGCAGTGACTTGCAGTCTCATATAGATAAGAGAGGAGGATGAGCAACTGCTACAGTTTAGATCTGAGGATGTACCTGCAGTCTGGTGACTCCCTTTTCCCATCAAATCTTCAGGTGACAGCAAATGTGGCTGCAAATTTGGTCGCAACTTTTTCTCCACAGAATTCTGTTCAGAGTCTTGGGAATGGGCTCCTTTGTGACAATTCACAGGCTGACTTCCTCTCTAGAATGTCAGAATGATATTGGGGTTTTCCTCAAAGGGTTTTCTTAAGTAAGCCCTATAAGTAGGATGTACCTGACCTACTTAGTCCTACTCCCACTCAGACAACTCCTGCAGGTGATGAGCCCCTCTCCTAAAATCCCACAGAAGAAGCAGAATTTAAAAATGGGCTCTTTGATATCTAGCATGGAGATGTTTCACCAAGATGAAAACTTCCAGTTCTGTGTGGAACAAGGAGTTCAAAACGCAAGCACCTACTTGCCGGTTAAGTGAATTTCAATTTTTTAGGTTCTCAGACACGCCCACTGCTCCTAAGCTGAGTTTCTCTTAAATCCCTGCAATCTGGACAGCAAACTGTAACTGCTCTGAACTCTGAAGAGGCAGCACCCTCACGTTACTTGCTAGGAGAAGATCTGGCTAGGAAGACCACCAGGAAAAAGGCATGAAATACAGAACAACACATGTGGGTGGATAGGGGCAAACAGTTCCTGGGCATTCAGAGGCAGTTCACTTGGTCAGCTTTAAAGATGACAGCTAGAACAAGTGAAAAACAGCTCAATATCCAGGTGGGCAGTTCAGAAGAACCACAAGAAAACACAGCAATAAGCAATGGGCCTGCTGACAGCAGCCTAGCACACACACTAGCTGTTCCTTCAGCATTTCACTCACCTCTTCTGAGCCAGCTTTCATTTGGGACATGAAAGATGCAGGAGACCACAGCTGTGGCCCCTGCCCAGTTCGGTGCATGTCCTGTGTCCACAGTGGGAGAGGAGCACAAGTGAGAGAGGGATGGGGATGAGCAGCATTACCCATGTGAGACAGACATTTACAGGTACTTTCTTCTACGTGAGGTGTCAGCATTAAGTTCCCAGTCTGTGCAGGACATTTATTCACAGATGTTAGCTGAAAGGGCACCTCTGACCTGTATAGGAAGAGAGATAAGGTCACTATACATTGCAACCTGTTGGTCTTGTCCTTTGCAGTCAGTGAAAAAAAGGGGAGTCTCTTGTCATTCCCTTGCATGCAGCTCTCCAATTAGCTGCTCTGCTATGCCCACTCCAAGTCGCCCCTTTTTTCTTTACTTTTAAAATTAGATTTTCTACCCAGTAAAAGGAGGTCCCAGCAGTTCCTTGCTTTCTAGAGATTCCAGAGGGAAATCAGATTTCTGTGGTGGTAACCTGGCTCATTGTGAATGGCATTTCAGAAAAGAAAAACAGAACAAAGAATATCCCAGACTTCTGATTATTGTAAATTGGCATCAGCTGGCATTGCAGCTAAAGGAACAATCCTGTTGGATAATTCATCCCTGCTCTGCAACATTCTCCTTGCAAGCAATCATTATTCTTAAACATTACATTTCAACTGTATTCATGTGAGAATCTAGTTTACCATGTGAATGGTTGTGTCAACACAAAGAATGGTGGAAGTGACACAACTGAACAGGGCAGAAATTCTTCTTTTGGCAGCATATACTTGCTTAAAGTAATGTGAAGTTACCATCTTACTTCCCTGTAGGATTCCTGTCCTGCATTGAGAAGCTTCATAGACAATTCTTCCTTGCAACTGCCCCATGATCAATAGGAATTTTTTAAGGAATAGCTTCCTCAGGGAAAAGAAAGGGGCAAGAAGAAAGTTCAGCTTCTGTACACCAGGATCTTGATGTTTATCATTTCATCAGATGACTTTAGTGAAAAAAACAAGAGCTTCAGTGACACTAGATCAATTGGGCAAGATAAGCTCTCTCGATGGCCCAAGTCCCATCAAAGGTATATTTCAGTGATTCTCTTTGTAACTGTTCCTATGACAAATGGCCAATGCTCCACAAATTCAGTTGTACCTTGAGAAACACAAGAGGAAGGTCTATAGCTGAGCTCGTTCTACCTGTCACTGGCAAGCACAGTCACAAATCCTTCATTATGTGTGGGCTGATGCTTGCATTACACAGCAGCTCCTGTGTAACTCTGCACCACCAGCCACATGATACAGAGTCAGAGTTAAGGTGAATGCATGGAACTAAGCCATCAATGAGAAAACTTGGGAACACAAAAATGAGACACACATAGAGAGATTACATGTATGCAGAATTACTTATATACCAGAGAAACAGGAGAGGGACTGGAGATTTACACTCACAGGTCACGGAGAAATGAGCCCCCCTCAGCAGGGTGAAGTGGTAGATGTCTGTATTTTGAAGGCCATGGCTCTTCCTCTGATGAATCTCCTCTTGTCTCAGGACTAACATCAGGCTTTTTAAATGTCACCTGCTTCTTCGGAGGTGGGAAAAAGAAAAAGGCTTATTTAATTTCTGGGAGAGATCTTTCTGTTTCATGGCACAACAATACCCTGACTGCTGAAGACTGCAGGCTGCCTGCCAACACAAAGAATAGCAGAGCATCTGATGGCTGAGAGCAGGAAGCACCACATCACCTACAGAGAAGGAACCAAGATTTCTGATGCCCTCAAAGCCACACCAGCTCTCAACTAAATCAAGCGGTGTGCACTGTGGGAACATTTGGGTGAGGAGAATTAAATGGCTACTTCTGCACCAAGGCAAGCTGCACATTAGCAAATGGAACAACTGGTATCCTGAAAACCTGGAAAAGAGCTGGGAATGCTGCCCAGAAGCAGAAAGAGAGCAGGCAAGGCAGGCATCCTTTTCACATGCAGGCCTGGGTTGATAGTCAAAGGCAGAAGTGACAGGAGCCCACATATGAATGTATAAGCAGGGCTAAAGCTAAGACAAGATCAGATGTAGTCTCTAATGCTTCAGTCTAGCACAGAATTTAGAGGCCTGACCCACATGCAAAGGTTTCAGTCAGGAGTATTGTGGATGGCAGAAATTGGCCAGTTTTAAAATAGTCTTATTAAGAAAGGTTCCCAATGAATCTGAAGTCCTCTAGTCTCAGCTGAATGAAATGCTTTGAACCAGAGATAGAAGTGTATGTAGGATCTAAACAACAGCTGGGATGTGGAGCTTTAAGATACATACATGCACATAAACACAAACACACATCCCACACACAGAGCAGAGACCAGAGCAGCCCAGTTCTGAATATATATCTGAGCAAACATTCTTTCACCTCCAGCTGGTGCTGGGTATGGAGCTGTCCCTGCAGCTGTTCAATGCCAGCAGTGTTTCTCAAGGCATGGGTTACTCCTCTCAAAGGAGTTTTGTGGTGAACTCCTGTGACTTTTTCAATGCCATCTTTCCTCTCCTGCTGTCCCTTGGCAAACCTGAGCCAAGCATCAAATACCTACAACAGGAACAATGAGNATATTACACAGACAGGCTCCAGGCCAGAGACTCCCCCTGCAGACACCAACACTCTCTCTTCCACAGAATAGGAATAGGCAGAGCTACAGCAACAGCAGGACACTGCCACAATGACAAAGGGACAGAGATTTAAGTCAGCTAAGGCCAGATGGGGAAAAATGTGCATATTTTTTAATCAGCTAAGAAATTCTGGGGAGTTTTCCAGCATCCCAAAATAACATAGAGCACCCCAAAGAGGAAAGGAAACAGACATGCACTGTGCAGTCTGCTGACTGCAGTCACACCTGCACATGATCTGCACATCTGCAAACTCACTTGCCTGCCCCTGCCCAGCCCCTTACCTTTCTCTGCACTGAAAGGGACCAGTGCCATAATGCTTGCACTGTCTTCTGCCTTTCCCATTGCTGCTGCAACAGCTATTAGGGGAAAAAAATACACAGCAACCAGGTTAGGAGCTCACATACCCAGCACCAGGAATGCCAGGCAAAGCACCAAGCAAGGAGGAAGTGACGGTACAGCCAGAGCAGAAAAACCCACTCAGTTCACCCCATCTATGCCAAGGTGTCTCTTGTGCTAGCTGAACCAAAAAATTCTGAAAATGTTTAAATAAAATCCTTGGTCCTTGTATAAACAGAGCATGAAGTAAAAGGGAGAACGACTAGCAAGGAGCTAGGTGTCTACCCAGGGGAAAATTCCTTACCCGAGTTTTCCAGCAAGAGAAGGAAGCAGAGCAAAGTCTATGAGTCATTAGTTCATCTCCCCTTCTCTGCAGCAGCTGCAAGGCAACCAAAACAGTGAGTCACTTGCAGACAAACCCCATTTATCTGAGCCAAATGCTATTAGAACAGCAAGCAAACAGCCTTTATCACCCTCTCTTTGCTCTGTTGAGGCCACCCTCAATACCCAAGTGCCCTACAATGTAACCCCACGTGCACACATCTAGGAGCCCAGCAAGGATTTTATTCACAGTAAGCTCAGGTTGTCTTGTTAAGTCTGTTACTTGTATCAGTTTCTTCAGGCAAGACACAGCCATGCTCCTTCCTCCTCACTACACAAAGCTGTCATGCTTCTCCTCAACCCAGACTGCCATTCCCTTCACCAGGGAACACAGTGTGTTCCTCCACACCTGGAACTTCTGGGGAGTTACTTCTGAGGCTGGAGAGTTTGCTGATCCTTCTCACCTTTTTCCCAAGGCACTGCTGATGATAATTTTTCCATTTCACCAGGTACTTCTGGAGCAGGTGCTGCTGGTGGTGCTGTGCTGCCCTGTGGTGCTGAGCCCTCAGCACCAGAGACTCCCTCATTAATTCCTTCCAGTGAAGAAACAGGTTCTGTAAATGCACTGTTAGGGGAAGATAAATTAAGTCATGTACCAAAAGGAGACTATTATCTCAGAGTATCAAGTGATGAGCTACTCTTCCCAGCTGTTTCAGCAATACTTAACTTGGACAACACTCAGCACTGACAGTATTCAGTATAGGAGGAAGAACTGTGAAACACTTCATGTAACAGACAGGGAGCTGTGACTTGAAAGTCTTCCCTGCTGCCACTGTCATTCTTTATAACCTTTAGGAAAGCCCTTTGTGCTTCAGAGTCCTCATGCCAAGAATGTACCATGGTACCAAGAAATGCTTGCAGAGTTTGAGGGTCTTTCAGTACAAATTACCAGAGAAAGACTGAAGTAGTAACTGATAAGATTACTTGCACTGCCTTCAAAAGAGATGTCTGAGGTTCTCAAAATTAGTAATGGAAAATTCCTTTGAGGAAGGAAGTGTTACCATCAGCAGTACAAAGAACAAACAGAGAAACAAAAGTAGCACAAGCAGCATTCAGCAGATCACTGGAATCTCAATTCACTCTCCATTCTGTGGGGACATCCTTTGTAAGCCAACAGATCATCCAGTCACTTCATTTGTACAGGTGACACAACACAATGCCCTTGGCTCATTCACAGACAATGAGGACTTTTGAGAGCTCAACATCAACATCAGCTCACCTAACTCCAAATGTTTCCTGGCCTCCACCACAGCTGTCACCTTCAGATGGCGGTGACACGCTCGTAGCCAGGCAGTGTCTCGCCACTGCAGCAGCACCTAAGGATAAAATGCAAACAGGAGATGGGACAGACTGGACTGCAATGGAAGGGGACACAATGTACTTCCCCTAATGGTAACAGAACCGTTTCCACCTCATTTTTCACACAAGGCTCAGCAGACAGTAAGAATTTCCTACAAACTAAATACAGAAGTATTTCAGAGGGTCCTCTTGGTATTTGTCAAAGCATTCTTCTCTTTCATCCATCCCCTCCTTGCCCCACTTCACCAGTACTACTATGCTATATCATGCTACTGGTTTTCCCTTCCTTCTAAGGAATGAGAAGGAAGAGAAAAAGCCATGAGCTTACAGAGACAAGTTTCAGAGACACCTGTAAAAATAAGATGAGACTCCCACTTTGCAGATCTCTCTCAGCAGTTGCTCTTAGATTTAACTTTTTGGTCCTTCTAATTGTATTACCTGAGCCCTGTCCGAACCAGCACCTGTACTGAGACCTTGGCACCTGCTGTACAGATCCTACCTTTGACAGGATTGCTTTCCTGTAGTGCTCATCTGCTTGAATAGTTGCCTTAGATTCGTGTATAAGAGCAAGGACATTTTCTCTCCACGTACACAGCACCTGTCTGAAGGTAAAAATACCCACAAAAGTTAAAACCAAACCCATTAAGAATGATTCTCACTTGTTCTTTTGCCACTTTCCTACTCACAAGGGAACCAAGACCAGCTGCATCTATAAACTCAGTGGTGCAAATCAATTTCTGCCCCTTCATGTCTCTGCTGGAGAAGGCAGTGCAAAACAGAACACACTGAAATCCAGCAGCTTCAGCTGAGCCAATCAGGCCCTGCAAGTGACTCAAGCTGCATAGCATTAAAACAAATAAGGTAATTAAAACTGAAGTAACTACAACCAATGCAATGTGATAATATCTTTAATCACTCTCCTCGCTGTAATGCAAGAGAGGCTCTGCATCTTCCAGGCTGCTTTAATACCATAACAGACAGAGAATGATGCAGTTTGCTGTCTAATGACTCTTACAGGACTAAACAGAGATTTAAAAAATATTCAAGCAAAACAGACAGCAAACAGGAAGAGGTTAATTTATTTTAACTAGATGACCTACCTGTAAAGAAACAGCAATGCATGCCAGAAACAACTCCCAGCACCCAACACTCAAAAAGTTACAAAGGTGGCAGTGAAAGAAAGGAATGAATGTGACTGCAGTGCAGCCAGTCCTCTCATGCTGTCTAGGAAGAGGCTCACCGCAGCAGCAGTCGAGTGTGCTGTTTCTCCTTCTCAGCTACTTGATACAGAATGCACTGTATGTTCTGTTGGTAAATCTGAAAATAAAAATAGTTGAGAGGCAAATTTATCTTAACTGTTAACACCTGTGAGGAGAGGAAACATCTAGAAACTCTTACTAGCATCTAACTCTTACTAACTCATAAGTAGCACTGGCAGTCAAGTACAGGGGGAAAAAATACAGCCACTGAAATAAAATGCTGCTTTGCTGTGGCAACCAGTCACTACACAGTAGTTAATACTAGCTGTGATACACCATCCACCAGTGCTACAAGATTACCTTGGTTCTTCTGCTCCAAAAAGCAGTGCTAGAGCTCACGCAGCCTCATCCAAGAGCCTCCATTCTACCTTGCACACATGGTGTGTATGTGCCTCCAGTGAAGCAGTGTGGGAGCTCTGCAGCTCTCACTGAAATGCTCCAGCACACACAGAAAAAGGCTGTTCCATCCTACCTTCCAAGCTGCCAAGGTCTTGCCCAGCAACACATGTCGATAGTGCAGGTCTGCCTGCACCAACTTCCTCCATTTCTCACGCTGATGTTCCACATACTAGAAGGAAGAAATGGAAAAAAACCCCAAAAGATATGTACACATGAAGGAGGGAAAACAAGTAATGGCAGAGAGAGGAGGGAAAAGAATCATTTCCAGTCTCTGGAGAAACATCAGTCCTTCACTGTGCTGTAAGAGCTTTTCACTCCAACTGGTGCTGCACACTGCTATGTCCCCAAAAGGCCCGGTTGAGGGGCTTTTTTTTCCCTGCCCTTTCTAGTCCTCTTGAAGACTGATGGAAACCAAGTCAAGTCAACAGGTCTGCACGAACATAACAACTCCAACTATAAAATTTCTCATAGATTCTCAAAACGTGCTGCAAGGCACATCTGGTACCTGGTATCATGGTATGGAAAAGACCACTATGAAAGTACTCTGTGACAGTGTTTGCTACAACCTGTAACACAAACACAGGCCACACACAAAGGCCAGGCTGCAAACTTCCAACTTAAGTTTTGGGAAGGACTGGGTAGGAACAATTTCATCACAATAACTCTGATTACATTCCTAGGTACATCTAAACCATACTCCTAGTCTCACCACATCTAGATACATGAACAAAAAGAATTCCTCTCCTCCCTACACAGCTCCTGTTCCACTCACACCAAACTGCTTTATCCACATGAAAAGGGAGGAGAGCTTAGGAATGATTAGCGTTTAAATTAAACAATTCAACTTCTAGCCATATGGGTACAAGCAATTCAAACAAAACAGAAAGACTTCACACTCTTCCCCATCTGTTAACTCTCTCACCTCTCTCCACTTGTTCCAAGCCTGCTGCAGACACTTTGAACAGTGAAATCTTAAAGCTTCTGTCTCCTTGAGCCTCCTATAAGAAAAATAATTATTTGTCCTACAATACAATCCATGTTGCTGGACACTTCTAGAACAGATTTGAGTCCACATTTTTTTATATTCAGTAATTCACTTACTGAAAGACAACTTAGTAGGCTCCAAAGCACAAAAAAGGAGTGAGCACCATTGTGAATTAAATGCTGTTTGTCCTAAGTAGGCTGCCACATGGCCAATCCAAACCATCTCTGTTTGAAAAAAATTCTTACTCTGTTTCTCTCTGCTGAGTCTTTTGTTTCCACAGACAGAAGGCCTTTAGCAGCAGCTGGTTTCTGTAGTGATCTCCTGCACAAACCAAGCCCTTCTGCTCCTCCAAACGTGCAGCTGCTCGTTCACGCCAGCAGCACCAGAAGCAGCGCAGGAGCCGCCTTTGGAAATGAAGGACAGCCTGCAATGGATGGAAAGTGGCAATGAATGCACAGCACAGGCAGCCACAAACAACAGGAAACAACTCCTTAGAGATGACGAGCATAGAAGCGTCCAGTGTTTGTTTTTCTGAGGTTGAACAGCAATGGACACACCACCAAAGCCCCTTTGCAGGGAGGTTATTTAACGTGCTCTGCAGGGACCTGTGTGCATGTGGATGGAGCAGCTGTTACCAAAAACAGCAGGCCAAAGAGAGGAAAAGCACAAGCTGATAAATAGCATGTGAAGGACTCCTAAGAACCAGTAAGTTCCAGAAACCAGTCCTGTTGAATGTACAAGAACTGATATTGTCCCACCATCAGTGGTGAACCCTATCTGCACAAAGACACCCCCACATGCTACTGTCAACTTGGAGTTGTGTAAGAGACCACATAAAGGCCACAGTGGCTGCTACATGTAAAAACTCCAGGACTATATACATATATATACATACACACACACTTCCTCTCAGAAAGTATAGGACCCTGTAAAGAACTTTAAGGACACCCACCTAGAAGCAGCTAATTTCTCAGTACAACACTGCACTTCTTAAATAGGCTGGGGTTGGCCATTTAGTATTATTATTATTTCAACAAACTAACTATGAGATAGTGTGAGAGAGAAAGCACACACACATTTACAGGGTGAGGGAATAATTGACTGTACCATGTAAATGTCAATCCTTTAATAATTTGATTCTATTGTAACAAACTGCTTAACTTAAAAAAGGTGATCAGTAAATAATGGTTGCAATCTGTTTCCCCTGACTTGATCCCTCACCAGGTAAAAGGGAATTTACAACAGCCAAGTCCATCTCATGCTAACTTATATTCACAGTGACTATGAAATCATCCCCTCTATTTCCTAAGCAAGGTACAAGAGTTACATTTACCTTCTTCTCTCCCATCCGATATTCTTGCAGCTTGCAGACCTTCAGTAGCCATGTGTCAAATGCTTGTTGCATCAACACCCTCCTGGCAAGCAAAAAGGGAGAATGTCAACACAGGAGAGAATTCCTCCAGTAAACATATTGATTTTATGAATGTCAGCTGACTAAATGAACCTCAGAGCTAGGCTTAACCAATCTCCTTTTTATATTCCACAGAGAATCAGATGTAAATTGTTCATTAGTCACAGAAAATGTCAGAGCAATTGCCATCAAGTCATGCCCCCAAAGGTATTACCATACTTTAAAAGAGAACCAAAGGCTCACAGATTCCACATTTGTATTAATATTTCTCTGCATACCTATAACGGGCATGAGCCACTGATGTTAAAGCCTGCTGCTGTTCTTCCTCCTTCTCTTCCAAACGAGACTTCCAACGGTTCCAGTACCTCTGCAGCACCTGAAATAAAACAAGAAAGACACAAACCCTCCCAAAGATATGAAGCAAGGAGAAGAATGCAAAGAAAGAAATTATTAAAGTCCTAATGAAACTGCATACTGCAATGCATTTCCTGCAATGCTTCATATACCAAACTTTAAAACTTCCTACAAATTTTTCTGGTAAAAGAAAAAATCCACCACAAACACAGGGAAACTAAAAACTAAACATATCTAAGAGTGGCAGCTGACTCACACAGATTTTCTGTGGCTATTAGTATTTAAGATCAAAGTAATTAAAAAGTACTTTGTAGGTGAGAGTGGAAGTCAATAGGACTGCTCAGGACAAACTGACACAAGAACCAAAGTGAAGCTCACTGTGACTCGATGCTGATGGGATGACAGATTTGTTCTCATCTGCTGAAGACGAGTGTCCAGGACATTCTGCCGAAGACCCTTAAGGCCAAGTTCCTGTAACAACAAGAAATAAACACAACCTTCATTTGTAATCCAGATCAGGTCATTTAGAACTGATCTACAATTCTAGAATCCCTTGAGTGGGGGCAGAACATGGTTATGAGAGCATCCTACTTCAAATCACTAATCATACTGCTCTTATAATCACTAATGTTTTCACGTCATGATTCAAACCAGTTTATTGGTATTCTTTTAATGACCAGTACTGATCAAACCTTGAAAATAGCTCAGTTCCAAAAAGCTGGAAGCTTGCTTGTGGCCATCTTTCAGACAACCTTCAGGGATTTATTTTTTCTTTTAAAAAACCCCAAAACATTCAACTACTTGTATATGAAGCAAGCTATCTTTGGTCTCATGTGAAAAGCAGCACGCACACATTACTGCAGAGAAGAAAAAATAATTCTTGTAGCAAACAGCATTAAAAAAAAAAAATCAAAGGAAAAAGGTAATCTCATGATGGAATAGCCAGGGAGCAAGTAACCCAACACCCTCAATATGAATCTACTTCACCAGTTTCCCAATTGGAAGATGCGCTGATCAGCAAGTTTCCCCATTTGGATTCAACTGGCAGATTCCAGAATAGCTGAAATTTAGAAACCTGGTGTATCTCCCACTTAACACCCACACAGCACTGTCAGTGTTACAGGGACACTCCACAGCCCCTCCCAACTGGCACATAACAGAGCTCTTACCAACAGGTGACACTTGTAGTGCTTCTCAGCCAGCTCACACTGCTGAGCCTCTTCCACACACAGCACAACATCTGTCACCGAGTTAAAGTATCTTTTACACAGAAGCAACCTTCTCCCACAGGGGGGCGCTACATCTCCATCTAAATTCGCTTCAATGTTTGCATGTCCAGCACTGTTATCTGCAGGAGTTTTGACTACAGTCAAACTTAGATTTTGCTGGCTTATCACAGTATGTTTGTGATTCACTCTTAAGTAACAACCATAAATTATCTTCTGCAGGCTCTAATATACTCTTATACAGCTGCTAATATACTGTAATTACAACAGTTTAATGAATTGTTAGTATGGCATTACATACACCTATTTAATGACAACATGTTTGTTGTCACTCACGCTACTGCACAACATTCCTGCTTATGAACGGGATTCTTCCCCCTGCTAGAACGCTTCTAACTTGTCTTTGCCAGGGACTAGACACAGATTGGATACAATGCTTCCAGTGTGCAAAGACTCTCCATAGGGCAATCCTTGCTGCTTGTTTTTCCAGGTCCCTTTGGTGAGCATGCACTCTTCTCCTGCACTCCCATGACAGCTGCCAATTGCAGAAGCACCTCCGGAGCGTCTGGCTTCGGTGAAACTCCTGTGCCAGCTCTGGAAGACAAACACAAATCACTCGTGGCTTGTTCTGTCCTAGGCTCATTCCTATCAGATCCTGACATCTGAGCCACTGCTTCACAAGTGACATCAGCTCTAACACTGAAGAATGGTTGCAAAAACTTACATTAATGCTCAGCTACAGATCATATTCCTCCTATTGATCACAAAGGCAGTTTTAAAGCAGTAACCTACTGTACTGACTTAAGAGAGGGAAGTTAGGACACACTTGTTCAACATACACAAACTTTCTTACATTTTGGCATACTGCTATTACTAGCTCCTACATATCCAAGCCAGATTGTTTTCCACTGCCATCAATCAAAAAGCAATTAATATAAATATCTGAACTCATTCCCATTCAAGGGAAGAAACAAAAGAACTGGTTTAATAATCTTTACCATCCTATAGGAGTTGTGATTTGACTGATTATCAAGAAAATCCACAGAGTGACTGATCAGTCTTGAATACATCCTTCTCACGGTATCTCAGTCAAAATATGATAGACAATATGCAAGTTTTCATCAAGGGAATTGTAAAGCTCTTTGTTTAAATCCCATGGAAAGCAGGTGATCTTCCTGACAGTTCAGCATATGAGCTGAGTCAGCCAGGCCTGTCACAGTGTACAGCCCAAGCTGCATCTCATGTCCTGGGGGGCAGAAACATTGCAGGCAGTGTCTCCTAGAACAGAAAAAAACATCACTTTGCCCTCAGCAAAGGGGTTGAGCCCTGTTCTGTCTGAAGTCACCATTTTCACTCACCATTCTGGCGTTTCTTTACTCTGTGGAGGTTCAGGTATCCCAGCCATGCTCTCACACATCTCCTCAATTCCCAGTGCTGATGGTGAGTTACTGCCCTGGTGTCCTTCTGCTTCTCATATTGGGTGTATAAATACAGCTCTCGCCACTGCAACCAAGCCTGAAGGAACAATTAAGGGGCAAGGGCAGTAAGGGGGAAAAACAGACAAGATTAGGCAAGGAGAACAAAGAGGAGAGGAAGAACTCACATGCAATAGGAAATTTCATATAAATTCTAAAGGTGAAAGCCATGAGCAATGAGGTTCCCCCTAAAAAAGTGGGAAAAACTCAACAAAACCTGAACAACCCAAAACACCAAAGGAATGTCAGCATAGAAAAGGTCAAAGATTTTTTCACTCTTTTAAATACTTTCACACTTTTTCCGATTAAAAAGGCCAATATAATACTTTTCTTTTGCCAACAGGCTTTCTTTCAGAGTATTTTCATATAAAAGGTAATCACATAATGAGATACTATAAGACTTCCTAAGTCACAAGTTTCTTTCCTTAGCAGAATAATGCCCTAAAACAGGTCATGTTGCATCTTACAGTGCAGGTCAAATTAAATACTGTCCCTTCTTTTTAATTAAATGAACATAAAGCCACAGTTTCAGTGACAGAAGGAAAGAAACCCATGCTGTTATCACTTCAGCTAAGATCAACCATCTGGCAACAACACTCTAAGTCATCTCATTTAGTTTTAAGTGGTCCTGCAAGAAGAAGGAAGTTGGACATGATGAACCTTGAACTCTGACAGGTTTGGTGCTGTGACCCCTTCCCTGAGAAGTCTGTTCCAGGGACTGACCACCCTCTCAGGAAGATCCTTTTCCTTAATGTCCAATCTGAACTTACCCTGACATAGCTTCATTCCATTTCCCCATGTCCTGACATAATATTCCAACATAAGTACTGCAATTTTCAAAGTAAATGAGACAAGGCCTAATTTTTATTCATCTGCAACATTTTCACATGTGTGTAACTTAAACAATGGCAGTAGCTGAAGCTCCTGAGACTTACTCGAAATTGCAGGCTCTGGGCCCAATGCTGCAGAGCCAAAATATTCATTTTACGTCCACTGCATTTCTGGTAGTGTTGTCTTCTCCACACTGCCCATGAAATGCTGCCAAAACAATGTTACAGACAAGTTCAAACACAGGTGCCATAACTTGGTGCAAGAAATCGTTTTCATCTCACTGGAAAAAGGTATGAACAAATCTTTTCAAAGAACCACTGAATGGTTTGGGTTGGAAGGGATCTTAAAGATCATCTTGCTCCAAGCCCCTGCCCCTCTGCCCCCTTCAAGTGGGCAGAGACACTTTCCACTATCCCACATTGCTCCAAGTCCCATCCAAACTGATCTTGAACACTTCCAGGAATGGGGCATCAACATCATCTCTGGGTTTCAGTGCCTCACCATCCTCAGAGTAAAGAATTTCTTCCTAATATTCAATCTAAATCTACCCTCTTTCACCTTAAAGCCATTATCCCTTGTCTTCTCACTGCATGCCTTTGCAAATGTCAGCCTTCCTGTAGGCTTCCATTAGGTATTGGCAAGCTGCTATAGAGCATCTCTTAAATTCACAGTCTATGGGTGTGCCAGAAGCACTCACACATCCCAGAAAGAAAAACAATTATTAAAAACAAAATCAAACATCTAACAAAGTCACTGCAGGAAAATACAACATAACACAGATAAAAGCCATGGCCTGATGGTGAGTGCCCCTCTGCCTGTGTGTACTCCACCCTTACCGCAAACAGCTTCTTTCCCTGAATGCCAGCGCCACAGACTGCATCCCATGTTTTGTCCTTTGAACGTCAACATAAACCAGCCAGTGCTGCCAGGTCCTGAGCAGAGTTTGTTTCTTTGCTGTGCACAACAAAAAACGGCAGCATCTTAATTTCCCGCAGGAATCTGGCACATCTCAACCACTCCATCACGGACCGCCCCCGAGTCCTGTGTCCTCAACCTGCAGGGACACCTTGTGGAAAAGCCTGAAATGACAGCGACCCTCCCTCTGTGAGAGTGACACAGTGAGAAGTCTCAGAATTGCTGACAGCATCGCCCATGCCACTTGCTCAGAGAAGCGTGAATTACTGGACAATGGCCGAAAATCGCTTTGTCTTCAGTGCTTAGAGGGGAAATAACTGAACACAACAACAGTCAGAGTAAGGACTGCACTGGGCAAGAATTAGAGGATTTTCTTTGTTTAAAAAATAAAAGTTCATCAAGTTCATCAGTTGCTTTTCAAGAGTTATTCTCTACTACAAGCAGAGAAATCAACCAGAAACAAGTCAACTTTATTTAGCAGGCTGGTCATGCAGCTAAAAACAGAAATGGTGTCACAAATTCCAGTTTACCACTTAGGGCAGCACACTGCATATTCTCCTCACAGCAAGCTGGCTTGTCAGAACCGACATTATTAAAGCAAAATTATTAGAAAAAACAGTCATTGATTCTATGCCACTTCACACACATAAAAAAAACCTTTTTCAGGATTTCCTTGTGAATCAAGCATTAACCTATCTTGAAAGAGGTCACCTTTTTCTATTTTTGACCAAGTAACACACAGCTTTTGCAGTAAATACTGTGGCCACACTCAGTAAGAAAGGAAGTCTGGATAACCTGTCAGTTTGTGTCCAAAGGTGCCAGTCTCTAGGACATTCTGAGGCTACGTTCATGTGCAAAGAGAGCAGTTAACTTATTCTGCAAACCAGCACAGAACAAAATCTCAGTATCATCTTTAAACAAAGGTCAACCTCCTTTCAGCAAAACATATTTCCTGAATTCAAGAAAGTTACTACCAGTACAGATAGCTCCAGGTCAAATCCCTTGCAGAGCAAAGAACCTACACAAGACTTCAAAAGTTTGGGCTTCTTTCAATTGCAAGACACAAGCTGGAAGGAACAGTCAATAGACATAAAATAAGTGCAGTTAAAAGCACAGGGAATTACTATGCAATGTCTAGAGCAACAGCTGATAGAGAGAATTCCAGTAAAACATTCGATCAAAAAATATCGACTAGAAAACATACTGTGATTAAGTGAAAAAAAAACAAAAAAAAAAAACAAAAATCAAGCAACCCCCTCAAAAACAAACAGTACAAAATCCAGAGCAGATGGAGAGGCCCTTATGCTTTTTCACTGGCATCCCTAAAAATCTACACAGCTACACCCCTATAAGAGACCCCCCTGCCATCTGCTCCTGCAAGCACTGCTCTACCATGGGGAGGGGGAGCTCAGGGTGCAAACAGGCACAGGGGACACATTCTGGTAAATAATTCCCGTGGAAACTCCCATCTCAGTATGTCCCCAAATATGGCAATTATCATCACTTCACTTACCATGAGACTCTGCAACATAATACTTGTTCCTCTTTCCTTGCTGTTGGCATGCATAGGCTCTCCAAGCCTTAAATATCAAATTAAGGAGTGAATGCCTGAAAAATGAAACAAGTGCCATTCAGTAAAACATGAAAATAAGCCATGAAAACATTGCTCTTGGTTCAGATGTACCATGGATGGAACTTACTGGCATTAAAAACTCCTTCAGAAAATGTCTCATACACACCTCAATGGGAAGTCATTTCACTAACCTGTAATGGTTGTCTGCTCTGATGAGGGTGAGCTTTTCTCTGCAAACTGTCCACTGCTCCTTCCACTCTCCAAAAGTTTTTTTAAGAATCTTCTGATCATAAAAACACCTAAACAGTTGAAAGATTTGGACAGGAGAAACATCACACAGGTTTCCAGAGTGACCACAAAGCCATTTGAATGATTACACCACCTCTTCTCCAGGCTTGCCTGATTAGCCTAACAACATCTAATTGCATTTAAAACCACTACCCTACTGTGACACTTTATTTGACACTATGTGAAGTAGTGCAAGAAGCAATCATTTTACTGACTGTAAACACTTCACATAAAAGGAATAAAAGACAGATGTTGTTAACTTGTCAAACATCAGAGTACCAGTTGACTTGAGAGCTTTTCACATCTTTTATCCTCAGTTCTTGTTTTACTCTAACAACCAGAACAGAAGATAACAATACATTTATTTTCCTTTCTAATTTTGTTCTTTGCTATTTTAACACAAAATATTATATTTATATAAATAAATATAAAAGGTACATCAGATTTTATAATGCTCTGATGTTTTTATCATGTAATAACAGCAGAATTAGGCCTAGAATACCTAGAGGTCTCTTAGTGAAACATATCAATCCTCTCACAAGTTGCAATTCACAGCCACCTACCCCAAGCCAAGCTGCTAAGTCATCCCAAGCACCCATGCAGAAAAGGAAAAAAGAAATGAGCTATATGTTATTTTTTTGGACTTGATGTGTTAACGATATTGCACATGCATTAACAGGTATTACAAATTAAAGCTATAGAGAACTGGGGACTTTTAAATCTAGAAAGGCAATTCATTATTGCTTGTGCTCCTTGCTGGTCCTTATAAAATCTATTTCTCCTAAAAAATAAGTTCATCATTGTGCTGAATTGATAGACAGCCAAATTAGTGCCAATTCAGTAGGTGGGACAAGAGGAATGGTGAGGTTCACAGGACAACTTCCATTTACCAGCAAAGGCAGAAACAGAATATATTTGATACAGAAAAATGAAACTGAATGACTAAGGACCTGATCTTACTCCAAATGCAAATCTTCCCACTGGGAATTGCTTCAGTTCCCTAGGGTGTGGTCAAGCAAGAATGAACATGCAAATTAATGCAAAACAAGAAATGAATATCAAAGCATGAGGTTTCAGTAGCTCACAGAACACTCACAACACTCACAGCAGAAAGGAATTATCTGCCACAGGTACTTCCAAGTCAGACAATACCAAACACATACACATATACATTAATAACAACAGTGCAAACAGTAATATTAACTGAATTTCATATTAAGAGTTGGACTCAGTGATCCATGTGAGTCCTTTCCAACTCAGAATAGTATATGAAATCTCTGTCATTATAACTTTGGGAAATAGTTACATTCAAAGCAGGTATGCCAATCACATTTATATGCACATACTGTCAAACTTTATCAAAACACAATTCCTATGAATTTGGTTAATAAAAGTTTAACCATTATTATTAAAAACAAATAGAAAAGCAATAGCAAGAAAGGTACCCAAAGAAAATCTCCAAGTGATCTCAAAATACATCCAAATATTTTCTTGGCAGCCAGTACTCTCTTAGCCCAATGGTTTACCACTAAGCCATTTAAAAAAACAAACAACAAACAAACAAAAACAAACAAACAAACAAAAACCCCAGCCAAACAGAAAGAAAGAAAAATAAGAACAAAAAGCCACTTCTAATTTTATCTACCTGGCTTTGGAAGGGAGAACTTGTCCAAATGTCATTTTTGCCCACAGATAGAAAAACTTCCTTGCTAGATATCTGGAATACAAGGAAAGGTTAGTTGCCTTTGTACTCCTCCCCTGCAAATTCCCAGGCAGTAGTCAAAATAGGAATTTTTATCCTAGCTTCAGTAATAAAAGTAAGGGTCTAGCTTTCAGAGATCAATGTATATATGAAGTATTTAGACCCTGAAATTAAACCCTGTAACAGAGCAATTAATAAAGCATAAAGAGACCCAAGCATCATTGCAATTGGAGTGTACTTCTTTAGGAATGCAGGGTAGCCAAAATGCCTTCCCAGCAGCCCTTTTCCACCCAGTGATAGTACTGAGCAGGGTGCTGGCTAGCTGGGGGCCCTTCCTGAGGTTTCAGTGTGGTAACATCGCTGTTTCTCCCAAGTCAACCAGCTGAGTGCAGAATACTTGAGCTAATCTAATGTCTGGTCCCTCCTGAAGCCAGCAGATCTTCCTTCTTCCCACTTCCCCTCAGCAGGTCCACATCTCCACAAGTTTCTCCCAGCTCAGCTCACTAATGTGTTACTGTGACACCATCAGCCTTCCTCTTTTTTCCCCAATGGATTTCAGAGTTAAGTGGCACACAGAGGGCCCCAAGAAGCACCAAAGGCTTCACAAGGTAATTAGTTAAGGCACACAGCCAGGAGGGGAGGCCTCCCTCTTTCAGCAGGTCTGAGCTGCTCAACAAATAATGGGCTTTTAATCTCTACACAATTACATCCCACCTTTGTCAAGATTCTTTCAACAAACAAAAGAAGCACATAAAAGGAGGGCAAGAAGAAATCATTACACCTACTGGCAGTGTATGAAAGAATATTGTTAAATAGCCATTTTTTAATTGGCCTTTGAAAATAAAGAATACATGAAATCTGACTGTCAATCCTTGTCCTCAAGCTACCACAAGGCATCTTCAGAACTGTCTGCCATGGCCACGAACTAAAATTTCTGCTGTAACCTACACTGGTACTACTGGTACTACCCAGACATTTTTAGGTCTGATCCCCTGGTCCATCTAGTGAAAAATATATTTTATCACCTGCTTTGGCATTTTTTTAACATTCTTCTTTGACTCCGGGTATACTCATCTTGGCCTGGCTTGTCATGACCTCTGTCCTGGAATTCATGTGCTGCAGACTGGGGAACAACAGCTCGTCCAGCTGCATGGACTTGATGCTCAGGTGGTTGCTGGAATTCATGCATCATCAGGGATTTTGAACTTAAAAGGAAAGGAGAAATATTTTATGGAGAATCGTACTATCTGTAAAGAAGTGGCTTTATTCCAATAGCTTGGTCTGTAACAAAGGTATCTGTTCAAATACAGAACATGACAGCTACAAAATGCTAAAACATTTATTGTTTCTTTATCAGGTGTTTTTCAGTATCTGGAATTTTAAACTTTCCCCAGCACAACCAGGAAAATTCATTTCAGTACAATCATATCACAGACAATTCTTTTCTCCTCTGAAGTTGAAATGAAAAATCTTTCAAATGTATTTCTGTGTGCACACAGGGTGTCTTGACAGAGAATCTCTGACTGTGGTTTTCCGCCTTTTAGTCTCAAACATATCAAAGTACTCTGTCTACTGCTGATAAATTCTCTTGAGCACTAGTGAGCTAAAGTGAGAACTGAACTTTCAATTTTAACATAAAATGTTCTTTTGCAAGCTCTTTCCTAGTTTTGTTCATAGTTTAACTGTGTTTCTCCTTAAAAAAAACCTAAACTGTAAATCTCTTCCTGTTTTTCACATATTCATCATGAAACAACAAAATTAGAATATTTTTCCATCACACAGTTTACTTTAACGTGTAGTTCTAATCTGAAAAATAACAAGTGCGTTTTTATGAATTCTAAATATTTTTTCCTGGTAATTTTCTGAAAACAAGGATAAAAAAACCCCTATGCAGATAAAACTTGCTGCACCGGTTCCATTGAAGCTTCTTTCCCAAAACAAATGCTGCCACCACCCTGTAAATTTGCACATTAGACCCACAAACACATTCTTGAGTTCCAGAAGAGGCAACAGAACAGGATAACCTGAAATCTCATCCTAACAATCTCCTGAATTGAGCTAGAGAAAACATAGCTGCAGCCAGAAAAAAAGTATTGTTTTCACAAAGTGACTGGAACAATGCAAGTTTCAAAAATTCAGCTGAATAACCACTATTAACAACAAATCACTGGGAGGAAATACTGTATTTTTGGCTTGTTCCAGCAGGCTGCAAAGAGTTAAAAAAAAAAAAAAGTCAATGCAAGAAAAGAGACCTGTATTTTGTGCGAGAAATTCTTGTTCTATAAAACATTATCTGAATGCCCTCTGAAAGAGGTAGGCCCTGCCCAGCAGACAAAAGAATTCCATTCACATCAAGCTGTGCAGTTAAGGCAACTCTATGCATATGTGAAGAGGAGTTTCAGGCACTTTAAAACTGATGCAAAACAGTTTCCAGCACAAGTTCTTGTACACACCCACCAGGCCCAACTCCCTTTGAAACTACTTCATCTTCCCTCAAGGTCTGACCATGTGCAATGACAACCTTACACAAAGGAGTTGAAAAAAACAAACTTGGGGAAAACACGCAGAAGCTTTATATTAAAGTCTAAGGTGTGTGAATATCTAAAATTTTTCCAACATATGTACTTTCAAACAGATTATTTCTCTATTTGAAACACTGTTATGTGCTGCACATATTTAATGATGACAGCCTATGTCCCCCAGAATTTATGGCAAGTGACCATGAAAAATAAGAGTCAAAGAAGGATCATTTCTCCCTTGTAAAGTTAGAAAACAAAAGCATGGAAAGGACAAGAGAACTAACATGGAGTAAATCTGTGGTTGGGCCAACAACTGTGTCCAAGTACCTTATGTTTCAGTCTAATATCTCAAGCTCAAGAACATCAGTTTTATATGTAAATGTCATGATAATGTAAAACTACCTAAAGTTGTGTTTCACGATCAGTTTGGGGGTGGAGTGTTCATTGTTTTTAACTTTGCTTTTCAGAGGAATATTTTCTGGTCAACAAAGTTCCATAGAGACTTATAAGCCCTTTTGTGAGAATAACTCAAATTTCTTCTGTCCCATGGAGATCTTCAGACGCCATAAATATAAAATAAATTACAATTGAGGTCTTCAGCATAGTAGCTTCTTATTACTGCTTACCTGCTCCTGAATTTCTCCATTTCACTCTAGTTCCAAGACTGAAGTACAAATGCACTCTCTGCTCTGCAATGTTGTTTATTAACTTTGGACAAAGCATAAATTGGTGCCTGTTACTTGTGATGAATCGATCACAGGGATCTATGCTAAATGCATATCTGTATTATAAATACAGATAGATACATAGTCTGTATCATAAAAATGACATGACTTCCACTCAAACATAATGCAATTCCAGATGTTTAACATGAGAAGCATCTGGGTCTCACTTAGCAACACTGTGCTGGCTTAATCTAATGGTAATAAAGTTATAAGCATTTGAATCCTAAGGCAGCAATTCTGCCCACTTTAACAAAAATGTGCTAGAAAGGTGCTGTAAAAAGTAAACTACTCCAAGTTATGTGCCCCTACTTAAAAATAAATTAATAATAACCCAGGGTGACACCAACAGCAGGTGACTCCTTTCATCTGTTTTTTTTAATACTATGTTCCTCTTCTTCAAAAGCACTTAGAAATGAAGAGAACAATGAGTTCCACCTAGCTCCAGTGAGAACTTCTCTATGCATGGAACCTGTGACTTCCAAAGTCCCGGGAAGAGCCCGAGTCTGTGAAATTACCTGGAATTACAGCCAGGCATCTCCTTTTGAGCGAGATCCAAAGTGGATTTTTCTATAAGCATTGGTTAGTGTAAGCTAGAAAATAAAACGAAACAAAAAACCCCAGACAATTAAAAAACGATGCAAACTTTAAAAGACAAAATAAAACCCTACAAGATTTTTTCTGGAGATTTACTGCACGAGATTCCTTTCGGCAGGTAACTATACCCTGAACGCTTTCTGTGCTTATGGACAAACGCTGGAGATCCACACGACGCTGCTCCACAAGCCCTCCGTGAGGGACCGCGGCAGCCGCCCCCGCCGCGCTGAGGGGGCGACGGATCCCGGCACCGGCGGAT